AGGAAAACACAAGGACAAGCAAGGGGGGGGGGGGGGGGAGGGCGCCGCTCTCTAAAAAAGGAGTAGAGGGGTGTGTGAGCGGGGCCATCCTATGCGCGCGTGTGCGGCAAAAAGATCCCGGCCTCCAGTATGTGTGTGCGTGTGAAGGAGGGAAAGTGGGGGCCGTGGTGGGACGCAGTGCCTTGCTCGGCACTGGCCCCATACACAGGGGGGGGGGGGGGGCCGGCTTCCGCCCGTGTGAGGCAGCAGCTCCGGCAGTCGAAGCATTACGAAGGCTGGGAGGGGGCCAGAGGAAGAGACCGCAGGACGGCACCCGCGCCGGTGGGCGGGAAGAAGGGCTGGCCACTCAGCTGGCGGCAGTGGCCGCCGCCGCCGCCGCCGCCGCCGGCACCACCGCTGGCCGACTGTGGAGCAAGCGCATGCATGCCCGGCTGCTGGTGATGCTGGAAGTGCGGGTGCGGGTGCGGGTGCGGGTGCTGCCAAGAATAGTGCCCATCATCCGGATGACCACGATGAAGATGGTGCAGGTGATGGGGTCTACTAGAAGGGCGCGACGTGGGCTGCTGCTGAGGAGGAGCATGGCAGAAGTCGGCGCCCCCGGAGGCAGGGACATGGGCGCCAGCGGACGGCCCGGCCGCCGGTCCGACAGCAAAGGAGACCAGCTCCGCCCGCTGTGACGGGGGGGCCGCCTCCCGGATGACAATGGCCGGGGATGAGCAATGGCCCGGGTATTGCTGCTGCTGCTGCTGCTGCTGGTGGTGATGGACATAAGGGTCATGATGGTGCCGGTGCCGCTGCTCGGACGATGGCAAGGGACGGGAGCCGCCGGCGACAGCATGGGATGCCGAGGCAGGAGCAGCGGCCCCGGCGGGGGCGGACGCCGTCGGGGGAAAGGCCACCATCACCTCGAGGGCAGAGGAGGAGCAGGCCTCGCCGCCGGACAGGGGCGAATAGCCACTCGCAAAGGCAGGGGGCGGGCCGGGGATGTCCACCACCGCAGCCACCGGGGACCCGACCACCGAGACATTGACCGAGCCGGCAGCCGACGGGGCCCGCGAGAGCATCGGCACATCGCCGGCCGCCGCACAAGCCGAGTGGTAGTACTCGGTGTGCTGGCGGTCACTCTCCGCGCCATATGGGGGATAATGGCGGTGGGGGGGGTAGTGCTGCTGCTGCTGCTGCTGCTGCGGCGGCGGCGGCGGGTGTGGCTGCTCCGGGGCCAGATGCCGGTCCAGGGGGAAGCCAATCTGCACCCGGGGATCGCCGCCGCCAGCACCACCGGCAGCCGTGCCGCCATCATACGAGGAGGAGGCCCCCCTCGCACCGGGGGGGGAAAGGCCACCGTCGGTGCCGGCCCGCCGGTGGTGATGGTAGGCGGCCTTGATGCCCATCATGGCAGGGGCAAAGCCGCCGCCGTCATGGGCACCATCATAGCAACCGGTGGCGAAGCTCGGCGGCAGGGGGCCACCCCCACCAGGAGAGAGGGACCGCGGGGAAAGCCGATCAAAGGCAGCCCCCCCGCCGCCTCCCATCGGGTCGGCCGTCGAGTGACAGGGCGGTGTGACCGGGAGCAAGCCCGAAGAAGAGTAGGCCGTTGTCGAGGGCCAGGCATGCTGCTGCCAGTGCTGCGGCGGCTGCTGCGGCTGCTGGGAGGAATACCAGTGGTAGTCCTCGGCGAAGGAAGCCGGCGGCGAGGAGTGACACGCGTCATTGGTCGGGGTCACCATCTGGAGCATGGACGCGGCGGTGCTGGCCGCGGCCGCCATGGGCGAGACATCGGCCAAGTGGACCTCGGCAAAGCCCGGATGCCCGTCGGCGAAGCTAGGAATGGACTGAGAAGGCACTGTGTGGAGGCGCGTCAGGCCGAGGGGGGGGGGGGGGGGGGG